GTGCTAAGCCCGCTCAATAACTATCTGCAAACATAGTGCGCTGTGACTGGCCAGACCTAAAGCAGTTTGGACCAATGGTAGACCTGCTGAGGGTACAATGGAGCATGGCTAGACCGACCTACAGATCTAAATCTTTTGCTACTGCTACGGTTGTCGTAAATCTCTAGGCTACAAAAAAAAAAAACTTCTTGAAAATTCCTGAAAATGTCTTATTACATTTTCCTAATAAACCTCACATGCATGCAGAAGTTTACATTCTGCTGCAAAATTTTGCCCGCTCAAAATGTGTTGAATGACTCATGCTGTTCTCCTGGTTGTTGTTTTTTTAAAGTTACTGTAGTGAAAATGTCTGAACTTGATGATTTAATTCCCCCTGAAAAATATTTTATTTTCTGCAAAGACTCATCAAAATAAACAAGTAATTTTTCTAACACAGCAAAAGAGCCTTTTAGCTGTTATTGTGCTTGAAATGGAATTGGTAACCCCAGCGGCATGTTTCTGCCACAAACTGTAGGTGCAGCGCCTTCTCACAGACCGCTTGATCCTTGACAGTCTGTTTCAACCCGAGACGTAGATTGAAGTCTGTAAAAAGAGTTGTTTTAAAAACTCACATTAGCCTTGATGGTGAAATCTAAATGAACTCTGAAGGCACAGATGCTCAGGCAATGTCTGAGTGTCACTACAATTACTGCTGCCTCTAATCAGCATGTCAGAACCGCTTCCAGGATGATCACCGTCACATGCTAGCAGAGCCGACAGCTCACTGTGAGTAGGAAGCACCTTAAATCAGCTTTGGATCCAGTCACCTTAGTGAGAGGCTTGGCAGTTCAGGTGTCATCCCAAAGTGGTAATAAATTATGAACATAACATAGACTGAGGCTCAGGCCTTATGTTCTGATCAAGTGCTGATTCATTCAAATGTCCAAAAGACTTTAAATCAACTGAACAAGCTTTTTGCAATCCATCGTACTAAATTGTATATTTTTACCAAATTTAGTCTGAAAATAACCTGATAAAATTGATTTTGTGTCCCACTGGTTGCTCCACCTGACACAGAAAACACACAAAGGCCGCATTAGTCCTTGGAAACATTGGGCTCTTATTCAACTAGTGAAGTGTTAGAGAATGTTGCAGCAAAATGAAAGTTAAAATGAACAGAAATCATAATAAAAAGCTCCTCTTCTCTTCATTAAATAACCTGAATCAATTTGAAATTAAATTAAATTTGGGGTGAATCATCTAAACCTCTGCCTTGTGATGTTTAGCTGTGTGTTTTCACATTTTCAACAGCGGAGATGCGAACTAAAGTTACCAAAAATTACCTAAACAAATCAGATGAATCCCTCATTTTCCCAGCCGGAATACTCATCGTTCCAAATGTTTTCCTGACTGTTTGCCCAAAGCCAGTTCTGTTCCTCTCAACCGTCTCACATCTCTAAATCCTGTTAAAGTTAACCATTCTTTCAAGTAGACAGAGATGCTTCAGGCATTTAAAAAAATCCAAATGCTTCCAGGATTCAGTTTGACAGGAGGCAACACAGGAAAACTATTGTGGTGGGATGTGGCTGAGCCGGTGCCGTGTCGGAGATGGGAAGGAACTGTGCTGACACTAGATAGATTGAAAAAGAGCATTTTTATTTCGGTCAGCCCAACAGACACAAGCATCTGTTGGAAGTCTGAGTGTGTGGGGGAATAAGCAGGTCTTGAGCCTAATTTATACTTTTCTGTTGAGTGTGGAGTCGTGCACACGCATTGACGGAGATGTTTTCTTTTCAGACTTCTCTGACACTTGTGGAGTGTTGAAAAGCAATTCCCCACTAGGACAACAGGGGGCGTAGCATTTTTCTGGGGTATCCTGCCACCATTACAATCACGTATCCGGTCCAAGGTAGTGCATATACTATTGTGTTTATATTGTTTTAATGTATTTCAGAGATGTTTATAACAAACAAAATAGTCCCTCATTCACCTCCACCTCTTCATGCATTTGGCACCTCTAAACCCACGTTTCTTGTCATTTCTGTCCACAAATATACGTCGATACTGATGCAGAAGGAGAAGTACAAATTAGGTTTTAAAGGTGCGCTTCACTGAAAAACCATTTTTAAGGATTATTTCTGATTCTAACAGGTCACTCTGAGTTTTTCATGCTGGCTGAACATGAAAATAGTCTCCAACACCTACCTCCTGCATTAGCTTCTGATAGAAATAGACGGTAAAACTCTAGGATTTGAAAATCCTGACAGATCCACGTCACACCGTCATTTAACATTCATAGTCTCACCCATCTTGACTCCCGACTGGACGCTAAACCAAAAACAGCAGATAACTTCTTGGCTAGTAGAAGCTAATCATTAGCATTAGCACCTCCACCACATGGCAGAACACCTCTAGGCTAGTGTTGTTTGTAAAGATAAAACATCAACATTGCGAAACAGAGTCGGTGGTAGAGTTGCGCTGCTGTTTGCCAATTAAAGGCGAGATGTCCAAATATCAGGAAATAAGACTCCACATCCTACCGTCTGGCTCAGCTCTGATCTGGCTCGCTTCTAGATCCTGAATTAGGTGCACTGGAGCTTTATTTTTGTCCTCAGAATATGACTTACGAGGAATTCATTCACACTAGAGGCCACATCAAATGTATTGAAAGGTTATGTTTGCCTTTGTGCTAAGCTAATTTTGACAGCCTGGTCAACCCTTACGAAAAAGAAGTATACTTTAAGAATATAATTTCAAGTATACTTAAGTGTACAGAAGTTTATTTGCATACTTGTTCTTAAAGTTTACTTAGAAGTATACTCCTTGGGACTAAATTGGGCCACTAAAAGTATACTTGAAGTATACTACAAGTATACTTCAAAGTAATAATTTAAGATAATTTAAGTTTATTTGTAGTGTACTTCTGATATAATTGAGTATACTTTTCTCTTTGAAAGTATACTTAAAGTAACCTCACAAGTGTACTTGGAGTGTACTTCAGATATAATTGAGTATACTTTTCTCCTTGAAAGTATACTTATAAGTTTACTTGTAGTGTACTTCTGATATAATTGAGTATACTTTTCTCCTTGGAAGTATACTTAAAAGTAACAATATAAGTTTACTTGTAGTGTACTCCTGATATAGTTGAGTATACTTTTCTCCTTGAAAGTATACTTATAAGTTTACTTGTAGTGTACTTCTGATATAATTGAGTATACTTTTCTCCTTGGAAGTATACTTAAAAGTAACAATATAAGTTTACTTGTAGTGTACTCCTGATATAGTTGAGTATACTTTTCTCCTTGAAAGTATACTTAAAAGTAACAGTATAAGTTTACTTCTACTAAAATTGAGTAAACTTTTGCCCTTGAAAGTATACTTAAAAATAAACTTTAAGTAACATTATAAGTTTACTTGTAGTGTACTTCTGATATAATTGAGTATACTTTTCTCCTTGGAAGTATACTTAAAAGTAACAATATAAGTTTACTTGTAGTGTACTCCTGATATAGTTGAGTATACTTTTCTCCTTGAAAGTATACTTAAAAGTAACAGTATAAGTTTACTTCTACTAAAATTGAGTAAACTTTTGCCCTTGAAAGTATACTTAAAAATAAACTTTAAGTAACATTATAAGTTTACTTGTAGTGTACTTCTGAAATAATTGAGTATACTTTTCTCTTTGAATGTATACTTAAAATTATACTTAAAGTAATAATATATGTTTACTTGTAGTGTACTTCTTATATAATTGAGTATACTCACAGTTTTGAAAGTACACTTTACAGTAAACTTGACGTAATATTCTTTTAGTACATTTAAGTATCTCTATTTTTTCTATAAACACATACTGCAAGTAACATTTAACATCTGCTATTTGCTTACTACCATTACATTTACTTTCCACTATTTACTGATACTTCGTCTTTATGCAGAGAAAAAAAGTAAATAAAATAGCTAAGTCATTTTGTTTAAATTTATTAAACAGAGAGAATTAGAACAGAACAAAAACAGACCTGTTTACCAGGATTAATCAAAGATGAGAACGCAAACTGTTCTGAACATGACGCGTTAATTCTGTCCATTTTGAAAGACTTTTTAAAAATGCCTTTAAAAAAATCAGTCCATTTTATGGATCCACTTGCTTGGTTGTTGATGCCTTTTTGAAGTTTTCATTGTTGCATTTCTTTCGTATTATTTTTCTTACATCTTGAACGCGCAGAGAGGGAAACTTCAACTGAGCATGCCCTGTGAACACACAAAGCAAAAAAATGAACACTTGAACTGTTAGGTGAACTCTGACACCACAAAATCTTTACAGTTCGTACACTGTAAACCCGAATAAGTAGGCAGAACTCAAAAAATGTAAGGCAATCAGTTGCCTCATATTTTCTGAGTTTATAAACTCAGATATTTGAGTATATCAGTCCATAAATAAACTTAAATATTTGGAGTTTATATTAAATATATTTTCAAATTATGATCAAATTAAAGTTACCGATTAAGCTAACTCAAACAGAAAATAAAATAAAATTTGAAAGAAACAATTACAAACACACACTTTTGAAAACTGGACAACAGCAGTGTGTAGTCTTTCTTTGAGTAGGTGGTTTAAAGCAACATCAGGATGCACATCAATTCAACATTAACAAAATATGAATTACACTAACCACTATCAAGTAAGTCAGTGAGTACTTTATGCCATTTGGCATAAAACCAGTTGAGTATTGAATCGGATTAGCCTATTAGCATTAGATGCTAATGGGCTAATCTGATTCAATTATTCATGCTAAACTAAAGACACAAATGAGAGTTGCCAGACTCAGAACGGCTGGACGAACAGAGAAAAGGTAAAACTCAGCTGTTCCTCCCACTGTCTTTATGGGTGACCCCGCGAGGAAAGTTGACCATTGAGCACGGTTGATGGTTTATCCCTTGAGGTCCACGTGGCAGGGGGGAGCTGGTGCTCACTCCTCACCCCTGCCACGTGGACCCAAGGGATGAACCATCAACCCTGCTCAATGGTCAACTTTCCTCGCGGGGTCACACCCATTAGGACAGTGGGAGGGTTAACTCAAGGAGAAGTGGAAAATGAACATATTTGCCCAAATGGTGGTGTGTTACTTTAACATCAACAATTAAAGAGCAGACAAATAGTAAATTACATTGTGGATGTGGACAATGCTTTAACAGAGTGAGCCATCTGAATCCACCACTCTTTCAGATTTTGAGTTACACATCTAACATCAGGTCATTTTTGACTCTGCAGCGTGGGTGATAGTTTAGACTCATCAAGACCAAGTAAGATTTTCTGCGTGAACTCAAATGTGTTGGTCAGTCCCTTCGGATAATCTAGATGTAAAGCATAGATGAGGCCGAACATTACCAGGAAGACATCAGGAAGCCTGGAGAGGTTGACAATCACATCACCCTCTAGGATAACAGATTCTCACTGGGTCGTACGTAACTGGACTCTCGGCATCATCGGTGATGGTTGTCAGGAGGACAACTGCTGCATCCGAGGTCCGGCTCATTGGTATCATCCTTACAAAAATGAAAGGGAGATCATACACTAATCACATCTGAACTGAAACTCTGACTGTGGCCATTTTTATTTCAGTAGATTGTCATGTAAATAACAGTAAATGCAGTCTGATAGACTCCTGTTTAGGGCTGGGCAACATATCAAAGATTTATCGTTATCCAAGTTCTTGTCTCTCATCCAGATAATTTTTCCCATGTCAATAAATTTGATAATAAAAAAATGAAAAGATGTGTAAGTTGGCCACATTTATGTCCCTTTAAGAAGCTGTAGCACCTTGAGTCATGTAAAATTTTAGTCAATGTAATACATGAGACAGCCCCATCTAGTGGACAAATATTGTTGCTACGCATTCCTGTAGTTATCGTCTACTTATCGTTATCCAGGTGAGATCTTCAATATGTGGTGATATTGATTTTAGGCCATATCGCCCAGCCCTACTCCTGTTCATTCTGTTGCTTAGTGCTCTCATTTATGAATAAAGTGAGATGGCTTCAGTGTGTGCCAGTGTTATGCTAATGAAAGCTGCTTGAATTCTTTGCAGTGATTGTTGATTTTTCTCAGTGCCTTAAAGCCTGCCACATGAGTGCCATCTGCTGAGCAAACGGCCTTGAATGACCGCTTGCTCAGCAGATACCTCGCCATGTGCGCCTGATTTTCACTGAGTTTTCCGCCTCACGAGACGCTGAGGTGAATATCTGACCAGTTAAGATATTTTCCGCCTCACAGGGGTAAAAACTCGCCGTGTGCGCATTACCGAGCTGCTGGTTGAGCTGAAATATTCTAGTGGCCAACCAAAGCACGTTCTCCGCTCACATGACCCCAAGATGGCAGCCCCCTGTCTGCATGTCAGAAAAGAAACAACACAGAGACAGAGCTGGAAACGGAGGAAATGCCTATCCTTTTTAGTTGATGAAACGTCGCCGCCACCGGCATTTCAAGGTTAGGAAAATATGGGTACAGTAGCTGGAAAGATGGACCAGGCAAGGAGTTTATGCCAATTTACTCCAAGAGATGCACCTGGAAGACCCAGAATCCTTCCGAAAGGGTAATGGAAACAGTGGGCCCATCGATCCACAAGGTACCGTTTTGTTTGTTTTTCAGACACGCAAACAGGGCAAGGGGCTGCATCTGAATACATCTTGGGGTCATGTGAGCGGAGAAAGTGCTTTGATTGGCCACTAGAATATTTCAGCTCAGCCAGCAGCTCAGTAGTGCACACACAGCGAGTTTTTACCCCTGTGAGGCGCAAAATATCTAACTGGTCAGATATTCACCTCAGCGTCTCGTGAGGCAGAAAACTCAGTGAAAATCAGGCGCACATGACGAGCAATCTGCTGAGCAAACAGTCATTCGAGGCCGTTTGCTCAGCTGATTGCTCTCGTGTGTGGCAGGCTTTAACATCTTGCCAAAAGTTTGTAGTTGAAACAATGGCACATTTTCCAAAATGTTCATGTGCGTTGTCCTTGTGTTGTCTTTATGCATAAATAAATAGAATGATTTGTTCAAATTTACAATACTGGGACTTACCACACGTCCTCAAAAATCCAGAGGTTTCCTCACGTAGATAGACAGGAAGGGCATGGAGAACAGTGGTACGCCTTGTGTGGACATCATGTAATTCCTAAGAAGATTAAGAGTGTAAATACTGTCAAGTTTACTAATCAAACTCAATGTCAAATTGCTCTGACCAATTTTCCAAGACAGTGATATCTGCATCTAAATCCAATGATAAACTGCTGAATTCAAAAGTTAATTTGAAGTGTTTAACATTACATAATACGGAGGGGTATTAGGGCCACTGAAGAAGAAAAAATTCTGAAAATAAATAAAATAAATAAAGTCAGAATTCTGACATTTATCTCAGTATTCAATTGTTTCCTTCAGTGGCCCTAATACTGCCTTATTGCCTAAGAGTATTAGAGTCACTGAAGAAAAAGAAAAGAATTGAGAAAAAAAGTCAGATAATTTCAAAATTCTGGGATTAAAGTCAGAATTCTGACTTTTTTCATGAACCTAAAACCAAACAAACAAAAAACTATTTAGGAATTTTTTTGTTTAAAAAAATCAAAACAAACAAACAAAAGCCTGAATTTTAAGATTTAAGTCAGAATTCTGATCCCCCCTCATAATCTTCCCTAATTTCCCTTTTTTTTTTTGTTTTAGGTACCAGTCAGAACTCTGAGATTAAACTCAGATTTATGACTTATTTTCTCAGAATTCTATATTTTTTTCCATCAGTGGCTCTAATACTCATAGCATAAAGGCATTACCTGTAAATTGTATATTCACCAGTTTTAAAAGACAAATCTGTATACATATATACATACATACATATATAGTCATGTTATTTAGGATGTGCCATCAAAAATGCAGATTGTGAGAATTACTCACCAGTGGTCTCACTTGTATGAACCTCTTGGGGGTCAACAGCAGCATGCCATCAATCTTGTGTGCAGAGAGTGGGGTTGGATCATTGAAGTCTGACTGCAGATTCATAGACAGGCTTCCCGGTGTGGATGACAGCTCATAGAAACGCAGATGCTCTACATTTACACGTCTACACCAGGAAGCATAATCAGTAGAGAAAAAAAACATTGTGAATCACAAGGTAGATCTGTGTTAGGCAGTCCTCCACTATATATGAAGCTAAATCATTAATTATCTAAATTATATATATATATATATATATATATATGTGTGTGTGTGTGTGTAAATATATATGTGTATATATGTATATATATATATATATATATATATATATATATATATATATATATATATATATATATATATATATATGTATGTATATATATGTGTGTGTGTGTGTGTAAATATATATGTGTATATATGTATATATATATATATATATGTATGTATATATATGTGTGTGTGTGTGTGTGTGTGTGTGTGTGTGTGTGTGTGTGTGTGTGTGTGTGTGTGTGTGTGTGTGTGTGTGAGGAGATTCAAGTGTAATTTGACTTATCCACACAAAGCTAAAAACATAACATTTAAATAAAAGAATCTGGAGTAACAGTGTACAGTAGGGACAAAATTACAACACTAAAATACTGTGAAATTAATAGAAACAGCGTTCTGCGGTTCAAGATATGTGCAACTGAGCACTATTTAATTTGATGATAAAAACATTAACAAAATTTGTATGTCTATGCGTGTATTAAATAAAACTTTTCACAAAAACTGGCAAACTCCCGCAAGCTAACTGAACTTCCTGTTTTTTTTTGTTTTTTTTTTTGTCTTCAGAACATCACGTTTTAAAAAAACTACGGAGGGGACAAAAATGGAGGGAAGGAGGGAACATAGCTCTTGCGGTCACAATCCTCTTCTACGGTTAAAAAAAGCAGGCTGCTTGCAAAGCTATCGCATGGGTGCTAAGGGGAAAATAGTTTACAACACAGACTGATTTTTTCATCGCTGTACAAGAGACCACTGCTCATTTACTTTTAATAAGTGGACCTTTAAGTTTGACTTGGTGGTGCTGAGCTCCCGCTTTTTTTTTTTTCTCAGAACACGTTTAAAAAATTATGATGGAGGGGACAAAAATGGAGGGAATAAGTCTCTAGAAGTCTAATAAAAAAGTATCTAAAGTAATGCTAACCTTTAATAATGAGATAGCGCTGCTCATTTCATTTAATAAACGGACTTTAGTCGCACAAAAAGTTAATAACACAGCTAACTCATGCAATGACTTAGCTTATTAGCTTGCTACGTGGCCAACATTACTCACCATGTCCGTCTTAAAACATTTAAAACATTTAAGCAACTTTTATGGTGGCTACTTACATTTAGCTCAGTGGTGCAGAATCAGTGACTGTCAAGTGCAGATGCAGAACAGAAGCGCGACCTCCAACGGTTAATGCACCTCCGACCCTCGCTCTTCTTCTTGGTCTGCTGAGAAGCTTCGAGAGCTGACTGAGCAAATTCTACAAAATAAAAGCACTTCCTGTGCGTGTAATTTCACAATAATTCGTAATTTCATGCTTAATATGTTATTTAGGACAGACAGACAGAGTAGTTATTTCAAAATAAGGCAAAGTTTCAAGCAATGATAAACTTAATATGGAGGAAGTGATTATGTTAAACAGAAAGGACATGTCAAAAAGGACTGATTTCAAAATGTATTTAGCTTTACAACAGGATTTGATTGTTAAGAATATAGATATTAAAGAAAAATGGGAACTGGAAGTGAACATAATGATAACAGATGAGGAATGGGAGGAAACACTTGAAGCAGGCCATAAACTAACTAATAGTCCGTCTTGGAGGGAATTTGAATGGAAGGTGAAGATGCATGCTTTAAAACTCCACTTATCATGTCTAAATAGTAATGTTTCAAATTTATGTTGGAGAAAATGCAGGCTAGTGGGAGACTTTTCACATATACTTTTGGACTGCCCTAAATTCATACCATTCTGGGAAGGTGTTAGGGAGAAATTGAAAGAACCTTGAAGGTGAAATTACAGTTTAAGTTAAAATGGTTTGTACTGGGAATGCTGTACCAAAAATTGTACACACATAATGGAGACATACGTAATCAGAATTCTGCTTATGACTGCCAAGAAGTGTATTACAGTTTTATGGCTGGACACAGAACCCCCAAGGGTGGGACAGTGGAGAGACAGAGTTAGACAGGTCTACAAAATGGAACAAATTAATGCAAGACTATGACTGGGACTAGGGAAATTTGAAAAAATCTGGGAACCAATAAAAAAAATGTTAGAAAGATAGTACTCTCATGTGAAAATTATTATTATTAATTTTTATTTTTTTTTAATTTATGTATTTTGTCTTTTGGGTGAGTTATTTAGCTAGATCAAAGTAAAATGTAGAATGTAGTAGAGAGCAGATAAGATGAATACAGAGAACGCTTGTCAGAACTATATGTACTGATTGGTGATTTGGTTAAGTTGGATAGATCTTATGGCCACAAGGAAATTCAAACTTTGTTCAGGGAAACACTGCCCTGGAGAAGGGAAGAAGAAACTCAAATGCATCTCCATGTAAATGTTGTTCTAATTCAAAAATATAAAGTTCCAAATATATATATATATATATATATATATATATATATATATATATATATATATATATATATATATATAATGTATAAGTATATATATACTTATATATAATGTATAAGTTTATATATACTTATATATAATATATAAGTATATATATACTTATATATAATATATAAGTATATATATATATATACTTATATATTATATTTATAAGTGTATATATACTTATACATTATATATACACTTATATATATATAATATATAAGTATATATATATATATATACTTTATATATATATATATATATATATATATATATATACTTTATATATATATATATATATATATATATATATATACTTATATATAATGTATAAGTATATATATACTTATATATATAATGTATAAGTATATATATACTTATATATAATGTATAAGTATATATATACTTATATATAATGTATAAGTATATATATACTTATTTATATATAATGTATAAGTATATATATATATATATATATATATATATATATATATATATATATATATATATAGATAGATAGATAGATAGATAGATAGATAGATAGATAGATAGATAGATAGATAGATATATTAAGTATACTTATACATTACTTGGTGAAATATACTTCTGATAGAGTCAAGTACAAGTATAGTCTAAATGTAAGTAAACTTTAATGTAAGTATGTATTAAAGTATACTTAGTAGTATTTAAAAAATGTACTCGGATAACTATACTTCTGATAAGTACATTGAAAGTAAACTTGGAAGTATACTGTATTCATTTTTAGTATACTTCAAGTATACTTCAGTGTACTTCTTTTTGGTAAGGGAAGGCCTTCTGGTCATACCTCAAACAATTGAAAAGGGATTTTTTTTTTCATTTGGTCAAAAGTGTTCATTATCAGAGCTAAGAAACAATTACAAAAGAGCTACGATGGCTTTAACCTCTGACACCTTAGGATTCATCCCACCTCCTTGTACATTGTAAAGAAAAGAACATGTGCACAGGGCTAACCTGTTGAATTTGGATGTGAAGTAGCAAGCACCCGTCTGTGAGGAGCTGAGTGAGAACAAAGGGCTAATTCTGATTAGCCAAATCACTCCAATTGGATTTCTGTGTGCAAAGTCTGCAAAAGTTTCCCCTGCAGCCTCACTGGAGTTGTTGTCTTCGGTAACAGACTACCCGCCATACCCAGCCTTGTTCTCACAATAGGGTTCAAAGAAATCCAATTATACAGTAGTTATTGATATGCAAGTCAGATCACTTTCTATCTGACAAAGTGATTACAGACTTCATCCAAACTGACAGTCACAAATAGATTCTCGGATTGGGAAATGACTCAGTATGCAACATATGAAATATCCTCCTTTTCTTGCAAGCAGCCTGTGCAGACAGATACATCATCCGAGATTTTAATGTTTTAAACACTGAAGCAGGCACCCTGTCAGTGTTGTTTGTGAATCTGGTGGATTAGGTGTCGTTAAGATGACAGGAAGTGGGATGCAATGGATTAAAAAGTGGGCAGATTAATTTCTTTCCAACTTATTCTGTCCTTTTAATTTTTTTCTGAAATGTTCAGCTTGGGGATTAATTTGGGAGGCAAGCAGAAGGAAACAGGCTGTTAGCATTAGCTGCTACCGCAGATTTTTGGTGGGTACATTTTCATAAAGCCAGTGGAGTGAACCAAGCAGGCATGGTTGGAATTTAGACGAGGTGTTAACCAGAAGGAAAAACATTACAGCTCCGATGCCAGCTGGCAGTCGGAAAGGACAGGAGTTAATTTTGATTACAAAAAATGTACTGCAACATTCTGGTACGGAGGAAGCATGTTGTCAGAATTTGGATGGACACAGCATCACAAAAGCAGTAGCGTCATTAGGAAGAGGCAGGGAACATCAGCTCTGATTCTGTGGAGTTACCAAATAGACTTTGAACATGTGATGTAATTAGTTTCCTTTGTATCTTTGTGTGTTTCAGTGAATACGTTCTCGTTTGGTTATGCCGTGACCATGAGATACACATCTAACAGCATCAGTGTTCAAATTTATGGAGCTTTACTCCTCATTAGCTCCTCAAAAATTGTTAGAGAATAAATTATTCATGAATCTATTTAGTTGGTTACTTATTTATTTATATTTTATTGTGGGTTTCTAAAAATTGACAAGAGGATTTGTTTGACCTAAATATCTTCCGTTTTGGTCTTTAATAGTTTTATCGCCCAGAGTCAAGAGGAAAACAATGACAACGAGCCTTTTCTCTGTGGCTTTATTTGTTTGTTAGCAAAATATTTCATGAGTGACTGGATGGATTTTAATGAAACTTTCATAAAGTAATCATTAGCTTGTCTAGTTTGGTGTGAATTAATGTCCCAGAATGTATGTAACCTGTTGTATCCTGTTTCAGTTGCTTGTGAGGCAATCAGATGCAGATTTGATCATTTATTTGTAAGGGCAGCAGTAGCTCAGGAGGTACGGGGGCTGTCCAG